AAATCAGCTGTGTTGAATCAAGGACACATCTAAAACCTGCAGGACACCAGCACTCGAGGCCTGGAGTTGCCTACCCCTGGTCTAAACCAAGCCTATAGTAGCTATCATTATTATATTAAACATGAATAATATAGGTTATGAATGTTGCATAAAAGGATATTTATTTCTAAAAGAAAATGTAATATTTGGGGGAAACAAGTGAGATGGTATAGCTAGATTAGATGAATAATTTAACTATTTCTTTTCACTGTTATAATCTGTTATAATTTAATAGTCTGTTATAATTTCATGGAGCCCTATCCTAGAAGCTTGCACTAATCTAATATGACAGTGCTGTTGCTCCATTAAATAATGAAGAGTGAACAAGTCCTCTAAATGTAAAATAAATAGGCAGATTTACCTGGATTTCTGCATTAATTGGTAGCAAAATGTGGTCTGGTTTTAATCTTTGTCACAATAGCAGACCACATGCTGGTTAAACTAGGAACACATGAATGGCTTTACTTTTAATGTTTCTGTTGAGCACATTATATAATTACCCAAAATGCTGACTGGAAATGTGAACCCTTGAATTAGTAACTTGTTGAGACTCCTGAAGCAGCAATAGCCTCCATCAAACGTTCCCTGACAAATTGGCTTGGCCCATCAGTTTTCTGATGGAACTTTGGCTTGCATTTGAAGACAGTTTCACAAATTTCTAAGCAAAGTTAACATCAACAGTTCACATGAGGGCACTGAAACTCCTAGGGGATTGCCATAAATGTTTGAAAAAAAAGAAACACTTGGAATGTAGGAAATAAAAGTGTATGTCTCATTTTTTTTTAAATCAAAGGTGGTTTGCACTTCCAGGCTATACTTAAGTGGGAGCTTGCTTGTTGGGATGCACTCATGTGGTCTCCATGTTTATGACACGAGTGAAGTATGTGGTTCCGAAAGGTCACGCCAGAGTCACAGAGGAGTAATTGGTGTTAGCTGTCAGTGCGTTTCTTCCTCATGGGAAATGTCTCACTGACATAACAGGAAAGTCACTGTTTTTCTTTTCCTTTTTTTCTCAGAGTATATACTGTACTGAAGCACAGCTCTTCGAAATGAAAATAGATGTCACCGTGCAGATATCACAATATGCAGCACCCTGTTATCTTTCATCGTAGAAATACAAACAAACCTACTTGAAGTCTTGAGTTTATGTGTGTGCAGAAAAAACAAATGGAGTTAATTTCAAAAAGAAATACTAAACATTTCCCCTGGCTGTAATCACAGCCCACAAGTAAAAGAGACCTTTCATGGAGGTTTCGGAATTTTTCCAAGACATATTTGTGTGCGCCTTTTCTGTCTGCAACACTATGGCTAGCTTCCAAGGTACACAGTCTGAAAGTCTGTTCGTTTATCCCCATACCTAACCTGGCTGACCTGTGAGACATCAGCTTTGCCTCTGTGTCTCACAGGTCAGCCAGGTTTAGGGAAATGGGCAAAATAGAAGCCTTTCCTGCAACCGTTTAAATAACCTGTTTTATAGAGCGGTATGAGAAATGTGTTTCTCAGCTGCTGGAAACATCATCCCCTGGCAGCACTGTGCTCCAACATCTTCTTGCTTCAAGCCAAGAACAAGAACAGGGAACACCTGTGGTTCAGAATAGTCATCCCTTGCCTCTTTACAGTGATTGACGTGAAACTCTTTCTTTTAAATGTTTCTAGGTTTTGTTGGGTGACATAGCATTTGGAACTGTTTGGAAAAAGCAAGACAGGGCATTATTTCCACTTTCGATCAGGACTTTTACGTCACACTAATACTGGAATGGCTGTGATGACGGAGCCACAGACTAGACAGAGATGAGAGCTAAGTCTAAGCTAAGTCACACTGACGGTAAAGGGATGGAAAAGAGTTGCAATGAGGTTTCTGGACAAATACAGCTCTAGAACAGGACCTACCATGTGAACTAGTTCCTTACTTGACAGTAGAGCTGGGCGATATAAGATTTTTTCATATCACGATATGTTTTTTTCATTTCAGGCGATAACGATATATATCACGATATAAGCCAAATAACTATATTTGTAAGATTTAAATGTGCCGTTGCTCACAAGTAAAATGTGAAATAATCAGCAGCTTGTTTTGATTTAAATATTTATTTCCCATAATAAGTTCAACTGGGTAGATGTAAGGAACATGAGACTTTTTCAGATAAATAAAGGCAAATATTGCAAACTACACAAAGGGCAGCCGCTAAAGCGTTTAAGTTTCAAAACAGAACAAACAAAACAGACTACCAAATTGTCAATTCCACTTAGAAACAAAATATTAATTCTAAAAATAAATCTGAGTTTGTTTTACAGAAGAACAGACAAAATTAACTTTTGTCAATATCAAATAAACTGAGAACTAAAAGGAAATTCTCAATCTCTCCTTGTTGTATAGCTTTGCTTTTCAAACAGTTTTAACAGTTACTTTAGTCTGACAAAAGCCAAATGACGAATCAGCGCTTCCAGTCAGAGATTGTATTTCCAGACTTGCTTTCGGCACAATTTACAGTGCGCGCTACTCTGTTTTTTGTCAGACTTGAAATAGCCGAAATACCTTCACACTACGGAACTTCTGTGGCTCTTCCGTTCGACAATCTCTCCGGCATTGGAACCATCATCTGTTTTCTCTTCGGTAACCTTCGGTCACGCTCTCGGTTGATTTTTCTCTAGTCGGCACACTCATTTCCTCCATTACCCAGGTGGCACGGCGGCTGGCTGCTTCCAAAACAAATACACATGTGCGGCTTGGCACTTGTGCTGTACGTAACAAGTCACGTGACGTGATGCTGCGGCTGTGATTGGTTCGGCTCTGCGCTAGTTAATTTGGATTGGCTGTTCTTTTTTTTTAAGAGGACAAGAGAGATGAGGCCTATCGCAATAGTTTAACTTTTCTATCGAGAAAAAGTTATTTCGCAATACATATCGTTATCGTTCTATCGCCCAGCTCTACTTGACAGCATGTTTAATTTTACACTAGTTTCTGAGGTTTGTTTACATATATTCAGTTGTTTGTGTTTTTTGTTCACATAGTGAGAAGTAGTAGATAGCTGTTAGTATGTCTGTGTCAGTTCGTCCCCAGTTAAACAGGCCTAGAGAATGGTTGGTGTCTCCCTAGCAACCTCCAGTCACTAGGGGAGCATGTGTACACCCCAACTAGTTGGCGAGGGGTCGCTGGAGGTTGATGGCTGTCACTAAAAAATCAGTTGCTAAAACTCCAATTGGTCACTCAGACTTAGATACTGGTCTGTGGCCCCTGGTAACTACTGGTTACTCGGGAAAAAGGTTTATTTACTGATCAGTCAGTGATTTATTGCCGAATGCTGCTGTCTCGCTAGGTGAAACTGGTCTCTGTGGTAGTGTTGCAGTCATCCACAGTTTGCTTAGAAGACACAGACTTGCCTGCAAACACTCGCTAACTACTAATAAAATGGTAGTGAAAATGTGAAAAGTGCAACACAAATGCAAATAAGACTGTTTGCCTTCAGAGTAAAAGCTGTGCCATACTGCTGCAGCCAACAAGTTTCAAAAGCAAAGGGTCTCTGTTTTACCTTTGTTTCACATTTTTTAAGTTACACTATCACTTGTTTGCAGACAAATCTTCTGTTTTCAGGGTAGTTGTTCAAATGTTTTAAAAAGCCCATGCTCCTCCAACTGTTCATTGTATGGGGCAAGGGATGGGACAGGAACTAAGGTCTCTGTATCTTAACATTGAACAAACATTACATTTTAAAAACTAGGGTTTCGTAAACTGCATTTAAATTATATGAAATAAAACTGAAGCAACAAATGTATCCATTTAACTTGTATCAGCTTTTTTTTTAGATCCACATCAAAGGACAGCCATGTAAGATTTATTTGGCCAAGATTAACAGGTCTCTCAAGATGAAAATGTGATGTCCTTTTTGAACTGTCTAATAATTTAACTCTTTATACGTCTAGTGAGGTTTGCATTGCAGTCAAAAAGACAAGAAAAAGATCAGTGATGATAATCGTGTTAAACTTTGCACTCCAAAGGAGAAATGGAAGCTCTTTAACTATGTTCTCGGGCAGGCTGCATTTTTGAGTTAGGTCCTGTGGAAGCGTTTATAAGTCCCAGATATCTACTCTTTCCCACTCCCAATTCCACTTGCCAATGTCCAATAAATATTTTACAGGGGTTTAATGGAACTTTGTGCTGTATATTAAACAGAGGATAGTCTGGTTTCCATATTTGAAAAGCAGGAATAGTTCTCAAATAGTCATTTAAAACCACATAAAAGCATCATTAACTTTTTTGTTAGCTTGTCTGATGGCTAGCACAGAACAGCACATTTTAAAATGTAAGCTAGGAATTAATTAGTTTCCCCCCTTTATGTTGTAATAGCATTTCATGAAAAAGATTTAAAGATGTGTGGTCCCCCCCCCCCCCCCCACACACACACACACACCTCGTTTTACAAAACATGACAGAACAAGTGAAAACTAGCACAGTGAGTTGAGCTTTTGAAGAATCCAGACACACTACTGTGAAAATTTGCATTTGGTTAACCCTTCTTCAGACCTCAGTTTTCAGCACTCAAGGCCACTAGAAATATCCTGGAGGTTTGTGGGAGTTCTTCTATCCCAAAAAGGAAGAAATTATTTTGTCTGTCTTTGAAAATACACTTCCGTTTTGGGATCAAACTAAAACTACAGTAGTCCCTCCTAATTTGAGACATAGGTTTGCTTAACCAAATAGTTACCAGTATGTTGACATAGGTTTGAGGTTTACAACGATCATGGTCCACAAAGAAGTGGGAATCTCAATGCATATATTTAAGCTTAGAAAAATATACACATTTTTGTGGATATCCTTCAATGAAAGCCAAAAATTTTGCAACCTAATATGTCTTCTGCAAGAGTATATCCCTGCATCCCTGTAATTTCACAGGAAAGAAAGCATTTGATGACTTAAGGTCAAAATAAGGAATATTTAACGTTCTTTTTTTCCTCTTTTTCAGAGAAATTGCTCGTCTTAACTGTTGCAACTGAGGAAACAGATGGTTTCCTCCGCTTCATGAGGTCTGCTGACTATTTTAACTACACTGTGAAGGTAAAACTTTCTTTTTAAATTTTGAAATGACTGCATATTCACAAATCCAGAGTTAAGGGCACTGCACTGACACACACAGCAGCAAAATGTTTTAACACAAACTTCCCTGGATTGATTGCACTTATTAAAGGAAACAATGGAGTGGAGCAAGCTGCAAAAACATTCATGGATAGCGTTTAATCTGGATCCAGAATTCCCCTCTGTGGTTGAAACAATTGTAAAAAAACGCTTTTTCCTTCTTTTTTTTTCTTGCTCAGGGTTCAGTTCATGCTCTGCCCTCATTTGTATTCTTATGCGTGTAATTGTGCTGCACCAGTTTGTTTTTGTTCTCCAGGCAGACATTTTCAAGATACTTTGTAAGCCTTTTGGGCCAAGACAATCCATTTTAGTGGTTTGAACTAAGTTAAGTTCTTCTTGTGTATTGTTTCTTATTATGTGTTTGCTTATATTGTTTCTGCAAAATGCATACGATAACTTCTGTACAGAAAGCTCATAAAAAAGATTAGTAAAAAAAGAATATCCAGAAAATGTAATTGTATCTCAGGAGTTTTACCTGTTACTGATGGTTATTATGCTAGCTTAGGCTATTATAGTATTATAGTATCACACTTGCGTTGTACGGGATCAGGCTGCAGAGTAAACATGGCTCCCGGATCAGTTTTGCACATGTTGTTATCAAGAAGGAGGGCTAGATGGATGTTTCTGGGAAAGGAATGCAACCAGACAGTTTACAGTTGTACACAGCTGGGAAGAAAAAAAAACTCTCAGAGGCTTTAGTCATACTGATCAACTTCACAAAAGTGATGGAGCTGCCACTTAAGAATCCAGAAAACTCTTAACATGCATTTTTGTCTACTGGGGCATTTTAAGGCTTGCATGCTCCGGATGCAGCGCTGGTTCTCATCACAAACACTATGTAAGATTAAAACATCAGCTGTCTTGCAACGCTCCCATTTTCATTCCCATCAGACAATGATTCCCTGTGTCCTCTAAATCGAGCCATAAGCGGGCTGATATCTTGTAGCAGTTGTGTAGACTGAACACAGCGTAATAAGCTCTTCAACTGAGCGATATTAACCCATCAGCTTTAAAGAATTTGAATTATTTTATTATTAATCAAGTAACCAATCTGACTGTGCATTTTAGAGTTGTTGGTTTTTTTTGAAAACTATACAAAATAAAACTGACAGACAAGGCAGGGCTGCAAGGCCAGTTTTGGTGTCGAGAGGGTTTTGGGACTCATTCTGTGTTATGTTTTAGGTGTTGGGAATGGGAGAGGCATGGAAGGGCGGCGATGTGGGTCGTTCTATTGGTGGAGGGCAAAAAGTCAGACTACTGAAGAATGCCATGGAGGCTCTGGCTGATCAGGAGGATCTTGTTGTCCTCTCTGTGGATAGGTACGTTCTGTTTTTTTCTGAACTTTTCTTTAATATTCAGATTCATTTTCTGTTAAATAAACACATTTAATTACATGGGAAAATATATAAAAAATATGTCTGATTGGCTAAATTTATTTTAATCTAAGCCTTGACAGATGTAAGATATGCAGAATATTCCCAATAGACATTTGTGAGACAGATGTGCAGACAAGCAAAATCCTTTATTCTTATGATATTTACAGTCAATAAATATAATAAATTTAAAAAAAGTTGTTTGATCATGTGCTTTTGCTTCCTTACACTATATCTTTGTTATTTCAGTTTTTTGTTGTTGCTCAGCTTCTGTTTAACCATCAGCTTTGATCTGATTTATGTTTTCTGTTTCAGTATAAAAAAGAGATGCAAAACACCTTTAATTGCTACGTAGAGATATAAATGAGATATTGTAACTAATTTTCACAATCACAGAGCATAATAATTGCTTTGAAAGCCTTATTTCCTGAGTGAGAGGTGTTTCTGCATATTTACGTGTGCTCCACTTCTTCTTGCAAAGGCATTATTATAGAGCAATACCAAATACATGAGGAGAATAATTCTCCCATGCAGGTAGGTGAATTATGAGTTTTGCAGTCAAATGGAAAGTTTCACTGAGTAAATGTGAGTGGTTAAGAATAATAAGAGCTTTGCATGCCACGTTTCCTTAAATAGAGCAACAGACGATGATACTTGCCATACCATGTGACATGAATAATGTTCACCATAATTACTGTGCAGAGCTGTCACACCCTTGAAACAGGTAATTGGAATGTATTTTTTTTCCTTTTAGAGGAAGTGATTGTAGTATATTCAACTGCCTCTGCATTTCAGAGGATTAGGAGCCAGTTAAATGTAATTTAACATCTATAATCCTGCTAGACCACCTCGGGTTTTTTGACAGTTTCTGCCTTCGCTACAATCACAGGCCTATATTTTGTCTTCTGATGAATTTAGTCATTAAACTGTAATTCACTGTGTTTTTGTGCGTTTTAAAAAATGTGCTGAATTTTCAAAATCAAAACGCCTACATGCATTTAAAAAAAGACATGCATAGATAGAAGTAATCACTTCAGTGTTTCACGTTGCACAATATAAATTGATAAATGTGTTTTCTCACACCTTTGTAAAGACAGGACGGAATGGTTTTTCCATTTTTAAATTCATAAGACAGGAGAATAACACGTTTTCTGTAATTGCTGCATAACTATGTCCAGATGTACTTTTTACTGGGTACTTTATTATTGTTCAGCTGCTCATTAGCACAAATATCAAATCAGCCAATCACATGGCTGCAACTCAGTGCATTTAGGAATGCAGACATGGTTACAACAATGTGCTGACGTTTAAAGTGAGCATCAGAATGGGAAGGAAAGGTGACTTTAAACGTGGCAAGGTTGTTGGTGCCAGACAGGCTGGGGTATTTTAGAAACTGCTGATCTAATGGGATTTTCCCACACAACCATGTCTGGGTCATACAAAGGTCCAAAATAGAGGTCAGAGAAAGAGAAAATATCCAGTGAGTAGCAGTTCTCTGAATGAAAATGCCTTGTTAATGCCAGAGATCAGAAGAGTCAACAGAACCTCGAAATGATCACTGGTAACAACCAAGATGTGCAAGATAGCTTCTCTGAATGCGCATAATGCTGAACCTTGAAGCATTTGGACAACAGCTGCAGAAGACCACACTGGGTGTCACCCAGTGAGGCCACAATTTGCAATGGTTCAACAAATTTGGAAAACAAATTAATTACATGCTTGATATCTTGATTTCTGGTGCAACATTCAGATAATAATCGTGGCTCAGGGGGTTGGGAAGCACATCTGTAACCGGAAGGTCGCCGGTTTGATCCCCGGGCTCTCTGTCCTGGTCGTTGTGTCCTTGGACAAGACACTTTACCCTACTGCCTATTGGTGTTGGCCAGAGGGGCCGATGGCGCGATATGGCAGTCTTGCTTCTGTCAGTCTACCCCAGGGCAGCTGTGGCTACAACCGTAGCTTGCCTCCACCAGTGTGTGAATACGAGAGTGAATGAATAGTAGCATTGTAAAGCGCTTTGGGTGCCTTGAAAAGCACTATATAAATCCAATCCATTATTATTATACTAGAGTCCGAATTGGGTGTAAATAACATCCCTTTTACCAATGGTTCAGGCTGTTGGTGCAGTAATGGGGCACAGAATATTTTCTTGACATACCTTGGCCTCTTTAGCACCAATGGAGCATGATTTAAATGCCACAGCCAACCTGAGTATTGTAACCGAGTGAACCCATTTTCTGATGGCAACACACCATGTCACAAAGCTCAAATCATGACAATGTTATTGACAAATTTTCTACTTACTTCATGGTAAGTAGGTAACAATAGAGCACCTTCGAAATGGGATATTTACATCGTGGATATTTAGGTATCACGTGAATATGGACCAAAATCTCTAAGGAATATTTCCAGCACCTTGTTTAAGCTATGTTAGATACTGGTTACATTCGCCTGCTAGTTTGTGTTGATGAGTCTAGCAACCTAAAACAATTCTTGGTACCAGCAGTTAATATTCACTAGTTACTATTACACAGTGTTCAATAACACCAAAGTTTGGAATTGTAGCAAAACAATTTGTCATTTCACTACAGTGATGGTTAATTAAACATCATGAAAAGACATTTGAGTAAGTTTAGGTAAATACGAGAAATACAGAGAAAGAAATCTAAAAGACAATTGTTTTAATGGACAAATTTGTCTTTTGCACCTTTCTTGGTTTGCAAACTACATGAATAGTTACAATTGTTTTGCAATTGCTTTGCTTGGCATGGTGATAAACTGTCATTGCACAACTCGAGCTATTATAAAAAATGGGATTTAGTTCATGTCAAATCCCCACAAGTACAGACGAGTGTGGCTTCATCACAGCCACATCTATTAGAAAATATTTATTAAGCAATTATTTTGGGAATGGTGTCACTAAAATGAATTGCCTCTTTTATTGTTATGATTTCACACCTCCAAGTAATAAAATCACCAGAAATATTACGATTTTCCACATACTAAAACATCTGACCTTTGGGTAATAGCATACTTTTAAACAAGTCACCATGAGGCTTATGTAATGAGGTGGGCATTTTCCCCTCAGTCTGGCGCAGAACTGTATAGGCCATGCATGCGTCAGCACAGTTAAAGTGCTTTTGTGTGTTGGTGGCTGACAAATCACAGCATTTTTTGAAATGCCTAGCAGTGCAATCCACAGTGCTTGGCTAAACAAGTGTTCCCACCTGAAGAATGTCTACTGTTTACATTGAGATGTTTATCAGTCTCAGGCAAGTAGAAGCCTAGCAGGTGTGTCAGATGTAAGATAAAAGATGTTGATGAAGTTGAAAGGTTAAATGATCTGTTGCATTTCGTCTTCACTCCTCCCTTTTAGCTATGATCTTATCTTTGCTGGGGGACCAGAAGAAATTCTCAGGAAGTTTCAGCAGGCCAATCACAAGGTGCTATTTGCTGCAGAGGGACTGGTATGGCCAGATAAACAGCTCGCTGACAAGTACCCCTTAGTCCGCACTGGGAAACGCTACCTCAACTCTGGAGGTAGGTTCTGAATATGAAAAGCTGCTTTGACTTGTTCAAGTCCAATCTCTGAGACTTTGGAGTAATAGTAACCATAAATTGTGGTTAAAGAAAGTGAGTTCAAAAGACTAGAATAGCTCTTCCCTAGAGGTACATCTACACAAAAAGCATTGCAACTTTGTTTTTTAATCCCGTGTTTGGCATGCATCTGACAGAAACAATTCACTTCTATTTTAACCAACCCAGCTGTCTACCTGCTTGCATTTTACTCAAAGAAGAAAACAAAGATGTGAGGTCTTCTTTTCTGTGTTCTTAAATGCACAAGTAGAGGGATTGTATATTAGACTCAGCACAACTACATACTCTGCCTGAAGGCATTCTCTTTCTGCTGCTGCTCTGCACCTCCTGTGTAAACATAATGTTTCTAATTCAACCCTGTCACCCATGTTTTACCCTAAGTGACAAAATCCAGGCATCTCCAGAGAATAAAATGTATTAGTTAGGGTGAATGGTTCCTTGTGTTGGACAACTGGACGCTGCAAATCTGAAGGCAATATTAGGATCATTACGGCAATGGTTTCCACTGAAACTGGTTCCAATGTTACCCACTGTGTTTATGTTATGTGCCTAGATATTTTATGCTTGACTGTAAACACACCTAGTTTCTATGTGAGCAAAGGGATTTTGAAATTCCACCATCAGCTGTCAAAGTTTGAAGACCTGTAAGCCTGGCTGGAATTCGGGAATTTAAGCCGCACTGGCCCTTCAGAGTTCTACAGTTATGAGAGGTGGAGAAGCTGCGAGACCTGCAGCCCAGTGTTAGTTTTAAAAATACAATACCACTTAATGTTTTTTTTATTATTATTATTATCTTTTGCTGCGAAATTCAACTATATTTTCCTTGTAATCTTGCTCCGTCAGGTATTTCCTGTCTGCGGTACACTGGAGGTGGGTGAATCCCATGGCATACTGCGGTTTCTTTTCTTTAGTAATGATCCTCTCTGCTACATGAGGGGATGTGAATACACACCTGAAGATGTGAAATGAGAGAGGGGGAAGACAGTTCAGAATATGTGCACTCATGCAGACATTTTTAAGAAAGAAACAGTAACAGTATGCTCTCATATATAAGCCGTATGGCCTGGTCATTTGCATCCTGCCAGTTCTTCAGGACATTGAATTACTGCCTTCCTTGTGGTCATCAGTGTGGTCTGACCTCCCATATTGGAGCCCGGCTGTCTCAGACTGATCAGAGGCTGTTTTTAGCATTCATTGTCATTGACATGACATGTGGATTTGTCTTGGGCCCCTGAATGTGCCACAGTTTGTATAAAATTGTAGGCTTTGTTTGTGTTCCTAACGCTACCGCCCAAGTGACCATTGGGGAAAGTTTTATAGCATCTGGATGCATACTTTGTCACAGAGAGTCTAGTGTCTTTGAGATGCAGTCAAGATAGGGTTATGTTTGTGTGTGACTGCATGTGTTTATTTAAGTAGAGTGAGGGGTCACGCACACTAACAAAACTACTAATGGTTAAAGCTAATTACCTGAAATCCCTGGGATTTAGCCATTAAACCCTGTCTGTCCAAGCATATATATCATAAAAAATGTGAACTGTTGTTTCATATTATGTGTTTTCATTCCTGAGAATGTTTTATGCTGCCTCATCTAGTAGAGCAGTACAAGACACTGAACATTTCCAACAGGCATGCAATTCGCAGCATTTGAGGTGGACTAGCTATCAGGAATAAAAGCTTAAAAACATAAAATATGATTTCTTTTGAACATTTTTCTCTCATTCCTGCCGCTTAGATTATGTCATGTCTGTCCATCGACTTGTTTACAGTGTCTGAGGCTTTTTTCAAATGATAGGATGCAAAATGGAGCAAACCAGCAACACAGCCAAACCCTGCAATCTGTTATTGTGGTCACTGTCCTTGAGCAACACAGTGAGGAAAAGAAGAGACGTGGGGGGGAAACTGGAGTAGAGATTGCCATGAGAATGTGCATTTATAGTGTGTAAGATACCACCAAATACAGTTTCAGAAACTCAGCTAGCAGTAAGTTGTGTTGTTCTAAACATAAAGATCCTTCTTACTACCCATTATTACTCTGAGGGAAGAGAAAGTCCCTAGCTATTTCTCGTGTGTGCTTGGGATTATTGCCAAAAGTCACACTCTGTGCTAAGACGTCCAGGCTTCCCAAGTATTTCGACCTACACCATGGAGCCAGCAGTTGTACTGTAATTGTCACCAACAGCCTACCAGCCATGTATACGCCTGTAAACATTTCTCACTCTATCTTTTACTGCTGGATTTGTGTTTCACACTGTTTATTACTTTCAGGTATAATTGGCTACGCCCCGTACATAAACAGAATAGTTTCACAGTGGAACCTTCACGATAATGATGATGACCAGCTCTTCTACACTAAAATATACCTGGACCCATTACAGCGGGTGAGTCCTGCCAAGAGAGCAAAGATTCTCTAAATCTGTGGCTTGGTTCATGTCTCCATTGTGTTTTTTTAACCACGGGCACAGTGACTTGATCGTGCCTGCATCAACATCTGCCATGTCTCAATTAGTAATGTAATGGGAGCTCCACAGCTTGGCAACAGGTTCAAATTGGATGTGGTTATTGCAATAAGAGAAGACAGACCCAGAAGAGTAAACTGTGCACCACTGAATCCCAATGGCAGCATCTTAATTTAAAACACATGTCTGTGTTTTAAATTATGGATAGCTATGGATGGCTAAATGTAGGTCTTTGTCTTCTTACAGGAATCTCTCAATATGACTTTGGACCACAAGTGCCAGATTTTTCAAAACCTGAACGGGGCTGTTGGTGAGAATTTAAAGATATTTTATTTTCTAATTGAATAATCTCTGAATCTTTATAATTTAAACTCTGTCTTGGATGTCTAAGTGGCAAAAAAACAACAACCAAAAAAAACACTTAAACCAACATTTGATGTTGGTGCTGCCGCCAATCTGTGGATTACTTTCAGTGAACATGTAGGATTTGCAGTTTATAAGTTCTAAATCCTCGCAGCTCTTGCCCATGTAATATGTCAGCTTTCAAAATATGGCCTAAAATGTCTTGTGTTCCCCTTTTTGTTGGCAGATGAAGTGCTTCTCAAGTTTGGAACGGACAGAGTGAGAGTTAGAAACACGGCGTACAACTCTCTGCCAGTAGTTGTCCATGGCAACGGAAACACCAAAGTGAGCAAGAAATTGCAGTCAAGGACACACCTAATGTAGCCTACTTAAGGGACAGAACAGATACTTTTAAGATAATTATCCTGACCTATGACACTAACCTTGAATGTAATTATCAAACTCTTTCCTGCCATTTGCAAATGAGTTTCTGTTGGCCTTTTAGACTTTTAGATTTTATCCAGCAACCATTCATCACTGCTGCTGATGTTCTGTTCGTTGTATAAATTTGACTCTACTTACTGGTAACATGATACTTGCTAGTTACCTAGGCATAAAAGGCAGTGAATATAGCTACAATACTCTCATTTTGTTTTTGCCATCACTCAATTCTACATCATGGTGAGGAGCTGAGGAAACTAAAAAGCAGGATGCCCGCTATAATTCTGTTGATTTTTCTTCTGGTCTTTTCCTTCTCCTGTCTCATTTTCTGGCCAACTGTTTATGTTTGGTCTTCCCTGTTAAAGAACCAAACCCACCAAACTACTGAGTCATTCTTCCCAGAGGGCTCAACAGCTGAAAGAAAAGCTTTTAATGAGAGATCACAGTATGAGCTGACTAGCGAGTTGTCAGACCATTAGTTCATTTTATTTCCCAGTTATCTCGCCAAGTTGAGTTTTGTGACAGCTACATGATCATGGCGTTAACGTCTGCAATAACAGACTGGCAAACGGTAGCAACCAAGAAATTACACGTTCTCACACTAAATACAGAGCAGCAATGGTTGTGCTAACAATATGTTGAAAGTTATGAAGAATGATAACATTGTTGCCAAGCCTTGGCTTCTGTAGACGACACATCACTCTGTGGCCTTTAGTCTGACCTGCAAGTGAATGTGTCCAGTCATGACACAGTCGTACAATAAATCTTTACGTCCACAGTTGTATTCCAGGTTAGGATTTTCAAACATATCATAAGAATGTGACCTCACATTATTTACTTTGAATGCTTTTTTCTTGCAGATGTACTTGAACTATCTGGCCAACTATGTTCCCAATGCATGGAACTATGAACACGGCTGTAGCCACTGTGATGATGACGTCGTAGACTTTTCTCAGTTAAAAGTAGGTGCACCAGACTGCTTTTTCCATCTACTTGCCATCCTTTTTTAGTCTGCTTTGAAATAGCTGCTGTGGAAAGTTCTTCTTCAGCCTCTCTTCTGGACTCCGGAAAGGATGACACATACAGCCCATTTCCCAACATCAACCACCCATGTATCACTGACTGTTTAGACAGTAGTTGAAGATCCCAGATTTTTTTCCGTATTTCAACAGATAAGCAATTCTGTTGGTACTCCACTGTCTTTCCAGCGATAATAGGTTATGTGCCCATTCCGAATTTCTGGACCATTTTAAAAGAGCATAAGTGCAAGGGGAACTACTTGGGCAAGAGGAAGCACTGCACATCTGCGGTGCAGGATATGGCTTTTGAGGTTTTCTGAAAGGCTCATTTAAAGGGGTGTCACTGTCGACCAGGCTGTCTTTTAGCATGCGCCGCACTGTGGGTTTTATCCACAATAGTAACTTACAGTGGTTGTACTGAAAATTTGTCACAGAGTTCAACCCAGGCTGGCAACGTATAGCCGGCAGGAATGGCAGGCAATAGGAAATGTCTATTGCTGTGTGGTTACGTCTGTCAAGAATGGTGCCAAACTTTACTTCTGGGTCCTCTAGGCGAACACTGTAACCAACACAAGATCTCAGTTCACCTTTATTTATTTTTACCTTAAAAATAGTTTGAGGAAAATCTGTCTATTGTAGAGCAAAATGTGTTTTTACTGTTCACTAAAATTGATGTTTTCACATTACACAAATAAAATTGCTGTAATCCAACATGCTGCATGGATACACTTCAATAGTTTAACTGGAGCTGATTCAGTACAAACCAAGCTACATGAAAGGCATCACTGTGAAAGTTGCTATTGGTGACCTTCCACAGTGAATGAAGAAAACACTGCTCCTTCTCAATAATAGGCACATTAGAAAGGACATTTCATTCCACTGTGCCCCTTTGTTTATGTGGGACAGAAACTGGTGGGAGCTCAGGTCATGTGGAAAGTTTGGTCATACTGTCCAGGCCTTTCCTGTGGGGTAAACCCAGTTTGGAGGAGGTACTTGTTGGTTTTTAGTGTACTTGTGTTTTGAGATTGAACTTAAGCCCTGCAATGACACTGAGAGTTACACCACGAAAGACCAAACAATCCCACCCAGGCCACTTCATTGCTTTTCTTTAACTGTTTCTACTGTTGGGTGTTGCTTTTCTCTGCTATAAGAAATGCTAAGGGTAACTTTTTGCTTTCGTTTCAATGTTTCTGTCTGCTCCTGCTTTTCTGTGACAATTTAAGCTCACATTGCCTTGATGGATGAGCTCCCATTCATGTGCCTAAAACACAGTCATTGCGGAACTTGCAAATTAGATGGTTCTTCTCGGATCTCTTTTCATCCTTGGCCCAGACCTTTGCCATGAACTGGTCAAGAGGATCAAGAGTCCAGACTGAGCTGTGTGGGCTGGAGCTGAGTGTCATGGGAAAGTCTTTGCTCTTCTCTTCTCTATTGCTTCATTTTTCCATTTTATCTTTATTTCCTCAACTTTCTGCGGAATCATTTTGTGCACGTGTTTGTACTGTGGTTTTGGTTACCCACTTCATTAGATTACAACATATCAGCTGGTCAGGATGGAAGATGTTCAGGAAATTAATGCGAAGGGTTTTGCAATGTGTTAACAACATATTTAAAATGTTAAAGCCAGCACCAAATTCTGCAAAGACAATAGTCAAGGCACAATTCTAAAGTCAAATCAAGAAAATAGAGTTAATGCAGTGACAGATGTATTGGCTTCATGGTTTGCTTATGTGAGAACTGAAATGTCAAAATCATCCATGATTTATTTTAAACAAGTCTTCCACTGCCAGGGACACTTTTATGAAATCTAAACAATATGTCTTTCTTTCGAATCTAAACAGGAGTATCCAAATGTGCTGGTTGGAGTATTCATTGAGCAGCCAACTCCATTTCTTCCTGAATTCTTTCAGCGACTGCTGACCCTGGATTACCCAAAGGATAAACTCAAACTCTTTGTCCACAACAATGTGAGTACATGCAGCTGCATGTGCAGTTTTTTTTTCTCCTTCCTAGATCTCTACATGGCTCCTTACACAGTATGTGGTGTCTCTGTTAATCTATTAATATTGGCTCCCTGCTCAGGAGGTTTACCACGAGAAGCACATCCAGAGGTTCTGGGAAGAGAACAAGAATGTGTTCAACAGTTTCAAAGTTGTGGGACCAGAAGAAAATTTGAGCCAAGGAGAGGCCAGGAATATGGCAATGTATGTATAACTATTATAAATGTATCATTTCTCAGAATCTGAAGTTTCTTAGAATTTTTGAATGATTATAAAGGATATGGTGTTTTCTGACTTTGATTAACCATGCAATACTTTCAAAACCTCTAAACGAGTTTTCATGGTTTCTGTTTGGGAAAACAGTCATCTTTGTTGCTAGAAGCATGAATAATTCAGTGCATTCAAGGTCTGTATTAAGAATAACCAGAGAGACAAATACACCTTTGGTGCTGCTTTGTAGTCTTTCTGTATTAATTACTCATAAAATGTGGTCTTAGGTTCAGCTAAATCACAGATTTACAGATAAACATAATATGACTAAACTAATAACAGGCAAACAGTTGTAGTTTTTGCTTCTGAATATCATTCACAGTCAAACCTGGGAAAAGGTGCTAAGGAAACTGGAAATGTGGGCTGTGAGCTTCCCCTCTCTATCAATATAATTGCTTTTAGATAAAAGATGGTAGTAGGGGTCCACTCCTATTACAGAAAATAAAGTCGAGTTATTTAAGTCGTAGTAAGCTCTTTCTTAATGGGTTCATGCTCTAAAGTCTAAAGTTTTTTAACTATAACATAATGTTTATTTTGTAAATTATCGTTCTAAAGGATGTCAAGGCAGGGTATGTTTTATTGTAACTGTCAACCCTCTTCAGCATCCCAGTCAGGCTAAGGCCAGCAACTTGGTAATTCAAAAATATGAATTTTCTTAATTTTCAGCCATTCTAATGTTTTTGATTTTTTAAATTTTATTTTTAATTATTTCCTTCCTCTATCTGTGAAGCCTTAGACCCTATTTTTGAAAAGCAGCCCCAAACATAATGCTCCCTCTGCCATACTTTATATTTGGGCATGCTTGATTTTTAGCATGCAATTCCATTTTCCTTCTGACATTATGGATTTCTACAACTAAGTCTGAACTCTTCACATCTATCTACAATTCATCATAAAGGAATTGTTGTAAAAGGAAAACAATTATTTAAGGAGGACCAATCCAAAATGTCTTCTCATAGTTTAGCAGGTGTCATAAGCATCTACAAACATCTGATGGAGACTGAGACTGTCCTCAAGAAGATTGTAAATGTTGCTAAATTAAATTCATTGACTTATTTTTTTTCCAGGCTGCATTGTGACTGATTAAAAATCCTCGGCAATGTGTAAGGATTCACAAACACACACACTCAGGTGTAAACTGCAGCTTTATTTGGACCAAAACGTTTAGGCACAGCATGCCGGGAAGCATTGGTCAGCACAGCCCTGTAATGAAGAAGTCTTAGGTTTATTAGGAGTCTCTAATTTTCTGAAATCTCCTTATCCACTGGAGGTTTAAAGATAGCAAGAGTCAGACTCACTCCACCATTGAAAATTACACCTTATACTTTGACGCTGATAAATCTAAAGCCGTGACAGTGATTAATTCCAAGCCTTTTATTGACCGTAATCAGCTCTGGGTTGGAAAACAAAAAATCATTTTCTCCGCCATGTCTGTGTTTTAATTTCATTAGGGATCTTTGCCGTCAGGATGCCACATGCGACTACTACTTCAGCATAGATTCTGATGTCATGCTGACCAACAGACAGACACTGAAGCTCCTCATTGAGCAAAACAGGTAATCACAAAGTAACTGGAATAGAAGCCACAACTGAGCCTGTTTGGACCTTCTTGGTAGCTGTTGTGATCATTGAACCATTTAGTTTATCCCGCAAGTGGCAAAACCACAGGAACATTACAGCTGAGTGAATTAAAGTTTTAAAATAGGCTGCGTTGGCTTCCTGTTTTTCTCTGGCCACATGGATACAGCAAAAGAGTCTATTGAACTAACTCAGAAATGACACTTTGCATTATACAAAAAACAAACATTCAACCTCTTTTTGCCCTTCTGCAGCTCACGATCTTAAAGAAACCTTCCCATAAACTAGATGTCACTGTGGCCGTGGCATGGTATTGTGACTGGCGTTTACGGATATTTAAAGACAGCATGGGAATTCTCAGCTGGCACAGAGGTTGTGGGAGCAAAAGTCCAATTTATCTCAACCAAGAAAGTTTACCATTAGCATACTGCAGTATATATACGAACCCACACTGTGATTTATGGTGGTGTTATTTTGCAAACTTTTTCCCAGTTTATTTAACAGAAAGAAAGTACACTTCTTTGAATTGAGTCCAGCATGACGTACTGGTGTGGTTCGAATCGTGGTTTTCTGTGATCTGTTTCTGACTTTGCAGTGTAATATAAAGCATACTATCCAGCTAGAGGTTGAGACTTTAGATAGAGGCCTTACCCCAGTGGCAAGTGGTCTGGTGCAATAGGTGGCTGCCTGCTTGGGAGATTTCACTGAGTTTTAACTGCCCTGACAGAATTACCATCTCTTCACTCCGTCTCTCACTTTCCAACAGAAAAATAATTGGCCCCCTTGTCACTCGTCACGGCAAGCTGTGGTCCAACTTCTGGGGAGCCTTGAGTCTGGATGGGTATTACGCCCGATCTGAAGATTATGTTGACATTGTGCAGAGGAAACGCGTGTAAGTCACAAGAGCAATAAGGGTAAACAAAGTTATGGCTTTGCATTTCATGGTTCACAAAGCAAATGTGGGTACTGGATCTCTGAGCATGTCCGTAACTATGAATAAATCTTGCACCGTTGTGCTGGAACTATTTTCCTTCATGTTTAGCCACAAAAAATAAGACCTGCTAACTTAGAAGGCCTATGTGAAGAGTCAGAAAAGTGATTTGATGAGAAAAACACTAAGTTAAACTTTTATTTCTGACTGACTTTGCTTAAAAGTAAGTTAGTAAGTTAGATTTGCTCTAAGATTGCACGGAAACACTTATTCACCCACAACAGTTGGAACTCAGATTGACAGCATGCAGAAAATAAATGGTTGTTATGTAAGTTTCAAAAGATTCTAAATGAATATGCTGAGCTTTTTTTTTCTTTTCTACCACACAGTTCACTACTGCACACTGTAAGAATGCAATCTTACATACATACATACTGGATTAATACAAAATAAGCACTTCCTGTCTTTATGTCTTGTTGTTTCTAGGGGTGTGTGGAACATTCCTTACATGGCACATGTATACCTGGTCAAGGGCAGTGCCTTAAGGAATGAATTGAAAGAAAGGAACTACTTTGTTCTGGAAAAACTGGACCCAGATATGGCTTTATGTAGAAATGCCAGAGAAATGGTAAGAAGGAACAACCGCCATCTTTAAGGATTCCTCTATTAGCACTACTGTCCGTAAAATATTAAGATTAATTTAGCAACAAAAATGTATAAGGTCATACTAACTTTAGGTATATTTATGATAGTTAGTTTGGTTAAGCAATGAATTTGCTACTAACAAAAGTCAACAGCTCAACGGAAACCAAAGACTGGCAAGTATCAGTGTTTGTATGTATGAGTATGTATGAGTGTCTTCGTCAGCAAGGCATGACCGTCCTGTGTTTACAGTGTCTCTTTGGTCGTGCGAGGTTCTCTGCTACACTTGTATCCCATCATCCTTTACTTTCTTTTAACCGATGCCTGGCTGGCTACCAGACAGAAAGGGTCTTGTCTCTTGTGGGGTTTTTTTCCTTTTCACTTGTGAACTTGTTACCTAGTCTTGCTTTGCGTCACTTGGACTTGGCAGCTGCGGTGTCTGATTCAAACACAGTGTATGTTGTCTGGTTTGCTTGGCCTGCTCCCCCAGCATGCATTGCTCCCATGTTAACCTACAAAAACATCAGCTTCAGAGGGAATCTTGCTTCTTTTTCATGCAGGCGTGTTTCCTCTCCTCCTGAATTCCTATGTGTGTGACATATGTACTTCCTCTGTCACCCTGTTTTTTATTTTTAATTCATTAATGTCACCTTAATTACATGATGCTTCTCCTTTATTTTAGACCAGTCACAGAGAAAAAGACTCCCCTTCTCCGGAATCATTCCATATGCTCAGGCCCCCAAAGGTTTCCATTTGTTTTGACTACTCTGCTTTCTGAAACATCCATTTCCAATGGGTTAGCACTCAGAAACCAATCTAAGCCATGTAGCATGCATAGTTTTAGGTACAGAAATAAATTTTCCCTTATACTGAATTTAGTATTGGAGGTTTTGTTTTTTGAAAATGCGCAGTTACAAATTCTTAATAAATTCGTACTGAGTTGCCTACTTGTTGCATAAGAAATTAAGATGACCGGCAACTTTTCGAAAATTGATGTTGACTTTTTGCTTGTGATAACTTTAGGTCTAAAAGTAAAATGATCTCAGTCAGACAGAGAAAGACTCATAATCTTTTATGTTTTTATAATTGCTTCTAAGAGGAGATCATGGAGGAGACAAAAAAGTTCACACAGTGAGCAGTTCCCCTGTCCTGATGCTTTACCCTAAACAACCAAACCCTACATCACACACACATTACCAGCTGCTCTTTCTAAACACACTGACTAATCTCAGACTAGGCTCAAACTATTTTTTCCCGCAGTCATGCTAAACATCTGGTGCAAATCACAGTTTTTCACAGAATGCATTTGTACATTAGCAATTTGGAATCTTGTGCAAAGAGATTGCAAAACTATCCTTAATTTTTCATTCATCTTCATCAAGCACAAAGCCTAGTCTGATAGTAAGTCCAAACCACTCCTACACATCTCCCTCCCCATGCTTCACTTTAGAGGGAATATAATTCCTGGATTTGCTTTGTCCCGACCTCCCCAGCACCCCTCTGTTCCTGTTCTCCCACTCCTCTCCTGCCCCATGTTATCCAGTTCACAACCCTCTAGGACCCTCCCCCAACACCCATAAATAATCTAAGATTATTTATATGACATCTGTGTCTGTTTGAACATAGAGTTCAGTAATGATTTCAGTGTGTTTAAGCACACTTAAATCCGACTATATTCTCAGTTTTGTGCAAATGAAGCTTTTAGTAGTTTGCCACAAGTATCAGTTTGTCAGTTTCATTGCCAGTGATAACTACTCATGAGTATTCATGTGTTCTAATACTGCATGCATGATGATTATGTAGACAAGTAAATCTTGCTTGTGGAACATCAGAAATCTTTTGCTTCTCGAACTTTTATGAAACTTACTCAACTTTCTCCTGCTTGCTGCAGGGAGTCTTCATGTACATAACCAACCGTCACGAATTTGGGAGGCTCATTTCCACAGCCAATTATAACATTTCTCATTACAACAATGACTTGTGGCAGATATTTGAAAACCCTGTGGTAAGTCATTATGAGCTCTCATTATCCTTCAACCACAAAAAAGCTTTTTTTTCTGAATAGCTGAGATAAACAACAGCCACCTGTAAAGGTTATTAACAATAATGGAAAGGTTACAAATGTGAGACAATTTTGGAATAATGACTTTGGTGTGATAAGGCTCCTGGCTGATGATTTACTACTGTATTTGACAAGCTGGGATCTGCCCTGTGGGAGATGAGATTAGCTCTGTGAGGTATGCAGGTCAGAAAACAGTTCAAAAAATGGGCACTAATTTGAAGTACTTTCTGCTTGCAGGACTGGAAAGAGAAATATATCCACTCAAACTACACTCGAATTTTCACTGACAACTACTTGGAGCAGGTTTGTATATATACATGTGTATCTGTATGTCTTCAACATACTGATACAGACCGAGGGGGGAAATGGGATGACATAATGTCGCAGCAAAAAAAATCCCAACATCTGGTTTTACCATATCTGGGTATTACATTACAGTTACTAGAGCTCAACATGAAGGTGTTATTCAAGTCTATTCTCAGTGGCCTCTTTTTGTGTGTCAATGTGTGTGTGCGTGTTTTATAGCCATGTCCAGATGTGTTCTGGTTCGCGGTCTTTTCAGAGAAGGCTTGTGATGAACTAGTCGAGGAGATGGAGCATTACGGTTCATGGTCTGGAGGCAAACACCAGGTGTGTATTGTTAGCTCAGTTTCACTGAACATAAAGTGCTAAGTGTAATCGTCACACTACAGTCACAGTGCTCTTCTTATTCTTTCTGTGTTTTATGTTTACACATTTTAATAAGGTGACAAGCATAATAAAATATCAGTGGTACTGGATTCAGTTTAGAAGTATGAGCCAAAAAGCAAAGGTTATTTATTAGAGAGGCCAGGCACTGAGATGCAACCACTGACCTCTTCACCACAGGGACAAAAAATACATTAAATGTATCCAAAAGTATAGAACGTAAAAATTCAGCACTATGATAAGAAAGAAGATGGCAAAGATTAAGGCTACGTTCACACTGCAGGCGAAAGCGCATCAAATCTCACTTTTTTTGAGCCTATGCGACCCATATCCGATCATGGTATGACAGTGTGAACAGCACAAATCCGATATTTTCAAATCCAACCTGGGTCACTTTCGAATGTGGTACTGAATCCGATACATATCTGATGTTTTAGAAAGCGACTGCTGTTTGAACGGTCATGTCGCATTAAATCCGTCTTTTACGTCACTGACACAAGACAGACGCCAATTATCAGCCCCCGAGAAGACATTGTGAACGCTTCCTGGCCATCCAGTGTAGATGTTAGTGAAACTGTTAGGAAGACAATGTTGGAGAAATGTGAACATTTTATTTGTACTGTATAATCTGTAGATTCTGACAGAAATCTGCAACTATCCTTTGAAGCACCGCTCCTCTCTAAAACAGCAATAAGGATAATTATTAGGCCAAATGTAAATAACAAAATAACTTTATAACTTAAAGCAAAATTGGGAAACGTAAAGTCTGAAGTCTTTATATTAAGGGCCATCAGTCAAACAATATTGTTTGGTCTGCATCTAAACACAGCTTGTTGTGTGTGACGTCTTCTTTCGCGCATGCAGGTCGCTTTGAGCGTTCACACTAGAGCGCGTTTGCTGTCACATTTTATTTGTAGTGTGAACAAGCAGGCAAAAAAAATCAGATTTGATCAAAAAATCGGAATTGAGCATTAAGACCTGCAGTGTGAACGTAGCCTAAGTTAATTTAGTTAGCATAACAGATGTGCTGGGAAAACTGAAATGTACTTATAGTGTGATATGTCTGCTTTATCTTGCTTAACATCTTAAAGTTTTTTAGGGCTAAATACAACCAGTGTACTTTAAATTCATCAACTGATGGTTTCATTTATGTTATATAATGACAAATACCCATTGTGTGTT